ATACAGACCTCTGTATACAGACATGTGGAGCAGCATCACACAGGTTCTTTGCAAAAGGCATGAACAGTTACCGCCAATCTATTCCCCATCAATGTCCTCAAGTGGACAGTGAGCGCACAGAAGTTTAGGAAGCACTTTTGTAGATCACTTTTTCTCCTCTCCTCTGAGGCTCCACAGAGGAATTTTTGAATTATATATTTGGAAGAGTTTTACTTTACTGAGGAAGGGTCAGCAAGGGCTTGGTGGGAGAAGAGTGTTTGTGGACACAGCACACATTCACTTGTGCATGTACACACCCACACAATAATAAAATAAATATAAAAAAAAACTTTACTAAAAGGATACTTTGTTTTGACTTTTAAACTACACAATGAACTGTCCATCAAAATCAATGTCAACAGGCCGAGCAAGATGGCTCAGCAGGTTAAAAAAAACATTTGCTGTGCAGGTCTAATGACCTGAGTTCAAAACCCCAAAACTTGGGTAAAGGTAGAGAGTACCAACTCCTCAAAGCTGTCCTTTGACCTCCACACACGCAATGTAGCATCCATGTCCTTCCCAAGACTAATAGTTTTAAAATTTTTATTTTTTAATATTGTGTGTGTGTATGCAGGGAAGGGGAGTGTAGGATGTGTGTGCATGTGAGTACAGGTGCTGGCAGATGCCAGAGGCATTAGATACCCTGAAGTTGGGGACTGTGAGCTGCCATGTGGGTGCTGGCAATCTACCATAGGTCCTCTGGAAGAGCAATAAGTGCTCTTAATCACTGAGCCATCTCGACAGCCCCAGAACTATTTAACCATAAGGAAATGCTAGAAAATCAAATTAAAAAAACATTATTTTATGTGTCTGAGTGTTTTGCCTGCATGTATGTGAGTGTACCACAAACATGCTTCATGTCTAGGCCAGAAGAGGGCATCAGATCCACTGGAACTAGAATACAGATAATTATGAGCCACCATGTAAGTGTTGGGGATCAAACCTGGGTCCTCTGCAAGAGTATCAAGTGCTCTTAACTGTTGATCAAACACTCTAGCCACATAAATAAAAAAATTTAAAAAAAAATCAAATTTAAGTCTTCCAATCCCTGTTAACTGCCACTTAAACTTCTATTTTGCAGCTGGGTGTTGTGGCACACACCTTTAATCCTAGCATTCAGGAGGCAAAAACAGGTAGATCTCTTTGAGAGGCCACTCTGGTCCCAGAGCAAATTCCAGGAAGCCAGAGCTACACAGAGAAAACAAACAAACAATTTTGTTCCCACCCATATTCTTTGTGGCATTTACTTTTTATTTATTTATTTTTTATGTGTATGGGTGTTTTGTCTGCATATATATTTGTGCACCATGTGTCCTCAGAGGTCAGAAGAGCGTACTACATATCCTGGAAGGAAAGGTACAGGTGGTTGTTAGCCACTGTGTCCAGAAGAGCAACCAGTGCTCTTAACCACTGAGTTAATTTTCCAATCCCTTTATTTTATTTATATTGATATAATTTTTTTTTTGAGACAAGGGTCAATATGAAGCCCTGGCTGGCCTCAACACCACCTGCCTCTGCCTCCCATGCTGGGTGCTAGGATTAAAAGTGTGTGCCACAAAGGCCCAACCCCTTTGATTTTCCTACTGTGGGTGGAAATAAATATGTTGAATGAATGACCAAATGGACAACCAAATGAAAAAAATAGTAGTAGGCTTTATGCCAGAACTAATCCTTAAGAGCAAGCTGTTAAACAAAAATAAAACCAAATGAGAAAAAAATAACAAACCCTTCTATAATACAAGAGTATACTTTAAAACTATTACGCCTTACCAAAGCAGCCCAAATATTTGTTATATGTGAAAAGGTAGCTTACTAGAAAAACCACCACCAGTACTTCAAATCATATGAACAATGGTCAAAGGAGCATGGTATTTAGGATTTAACTACGAAAATGTTTAATGTGTGGAAATATCATTTCACAATAAGGAGGCTTAATTATCTGTTTTCAAGCAATGTTTCATACACTGTGTTGTTTTATGGATAGTTTCTCTAAAGCATCAAAGTAAAGAAAGAATATAATGTAAAAGACAAAATAAACACATGAAAGGGCATGTAAATTCCTTCCCATCATTAAAAATAAAAAGTATAACTAAAGTTGGGCGGTGGTGCATGCTTTTAATCCCAGCACTGGGGAGGCAGAGGCAGGCGGATCTCTGAGTTTGAGGCCAGCCTGGTCTACAGAACAAGTCCTAGGACAGCCAGGACTGATACACAGAGAAACCTTATCTTGAAAAAAACTAAACAAACAAACAAACAAACAAACAAAGTATAAATATGTAAACACACATATATGTGAAAGACCCCCGCTCCATTATGAGGACATGGGGCTTTGGGCCAATAAAATGCTCCCCCCCCAATAACTTAGCCTAAGAAACGCCATTCTGAAGGAATCAGAAAAACAGGAGTTCACAGCCGTAGCCAGCCACCCGGCCTTGACAGAGAT